ACTGACCAAAAGGGGAGCTCTAAACAAAGGCGTTGCACTGACCAATGAGGAGCACTGACCTAAAGGGGAGCACTGACCAATGGCGAGCACTGACCAAAGGGGGAGCACTGACCAAAGGGGGAGCACTGACCAAAAGGGGAGCACTGACCAATGGGGGAGCACTGACCAATGGGGGAGCACTGACCAGTTCCTATTCTGACAGGCTCCCAGTCTCTAGGTTTAATATCACCAACAAGCTGTGCAATGTGGGCTCAGTGCAGAAGAGGCTTGAGAAGGTGAACCCAACATTTGTAGCCCTTTCCCCATTGCCCATTGGACTGAGGGTCTCACCAAACCAGTGTAGAGCACAGTTAAATAGTGAAGGTTGAAGTGTCTGCAGCGATACCCAAACCCACAAACCCAAACCCAGTTCCAGCAGGTGAGAGGCTGAGATGATGGTCTGGCAAGAATGGTGCTGGGCTGGGCTCTGCATCACTTCTCCATGACAAATAAATAATTCAACATCTTATGGTGAAACTCAGTGATCAGCAGCTCAGAAAGGATGAGGGGCTGCAGTTATAGAGATAAAACGTGAGGAATTACAGCCCTGTACCTTGACTGTCTTCTTGGCGTATGTGTCTAAAGCCTTCCCCTGGGACCTCAATATCTGAACATTGTACTTGAACTGGTCGTTGTTCTCCACGCCCTGTGCCTTGGGCATTGCTCCAAGCAGAACAGCAACATCCACATCTCTGAAGGCCACTTCATCACGGTCTGTCACAGTCACTCCTGCAGGAAACAGTGCGGCCACTTACTCATGGTTTGCCTACCACAAGGCCCAGCAATAATGAAACACAAAGAGAGAGTGTTAGAGACTCTCAGCCGGTCACAGAATCCCTAGACTGTGGGCCATTAGAATCCACAACAACCCTCCAAAGAGCATCCCACCCAGACTCACCCCTTACCCATCCCTGTAAGGCTCCATTTCCCATGGCCAATCCACCCTAACCTGCACACCCCTGGACACTATGGGACAATTTAGCACGGGCAATCCACCCTAGCCTGCACATCTTTGGACTGTGGGAGGAAACCGGAGCAAGCGGAGGAAACCCAAGCAGACACGGGGAGAATGTGCAAACACCACACAGACAGTCGCCCGAGGGCGGGATCGAACCCGGGTCCCTGGTGCTGTGAGGCAGCAGCGCTAACCACTGAGCCATCGTTCCTCCTGGTCTGGCAGCATCTGTACATGGAGTTAACACTTCAAGTCCGGTGACTCTTTGTCAAGCTTCAGGAGTGACACCCGAATCAGGGCCTTCTGAGATATCTCGGTCTCTGTTCCTTTGTGGCTCCCTGCTTCTATCTCGAAGGAGTGGTATCTGCTGCTGCAGCATGATCTCTATACTTAACCCTTTTCTGCACACAATCCGTTGCTACACTGGGGTGACTGATGCAATGGCACAGTCTTCCAGGTGATGACTTCCTCCCAAGACTTTGTCTTCCAAACTATTCCAAATATTTGGCAATAATTCCATCCAGCAGGCCTGAAGAAGGGTAACATGGCTCGACATGTTCATTCCATTTTTCTTTCTCTCCACAGATCCTGCCTCACCTGCTGGGTTTCTCCAGAAATTTCCATTTTCAGATCACCAGCATTTGGAGTGCAATTTTTATTTGGATAATGGTGAGGTTTTATTCAAAAGGCAATGCGAGTTACTCAAGAGAATCACAGGAAGAATAGAGCTACTCTGCTTTTTCTTTATTTATCTTTCTTTATTCATTCACGGGATGAGGGCGTCGCTGACCAGGCAGCATTTATTGCCCCCTAATTGCCCAGAGGGCAGTTAAGAAACAACCACATTGCTGTGGGTCTGGAGTCACATGTAGGCCAGACCAGGTAAGGATGGCAGTTTCCTTCCCTAAAGTACATTCGTGAACCAGATGGGTTTTTCCCGATAAAAAGCTAAAGAACTGTGGATGCTGTAAATCAGGAACAAAAACAAAGTTGCTGGAAAAACTCAGCAGGTCTGTGAAGGTAAAAAACAGAGTTCTGAGCCAGGGTCTCTGGACCCGAAACATTAACTCTGTTTCTTCTTTCACAGATGCTGCCAGAGCTGTGGGGTTTTTCTCAATAATTGGCAATGGATTCACGATCATTGTTAGATTTTTACTGAATTAAAATTCCACCATCTGCCGAGGCAGGATTTGAACCTGTGTCCCCAGAGTGTCATCTGGTCTCTGTATTAACAATCCAGGCCACCGCTCCCCCAAAAATCAACCTTCTGATCTTTTACGCCTACTCGATACAACAGACAAGGTCTGGGTTTAACCTCAAGCACAAAAACGGACCCTCCAACGGTGCGGCACTCCCTCAGCGCTGACCCTCCGACCGTGCGGCGCTCCCTCAGCGCTGACCCTCCGACCGTGCGGCGCTCCCTCAGCGCTGACAGTAGCTGTGTTGACATGAGTTGTGGTTTCAAACCATAGCACAGAACAAAGTCATGCGCCTTCTCTCTCTCTCTCTCTCTCTTCTTTCTAAGCGAGCTCGTAAACTGGGTAAATACATGAGGGGGAGAGGATAATAATGGATGTCGTGGGTGAAGTGAATAGTGAGAGGAATCTTGCGAGGAGCAGACACTGCAGCACAGAGCCAGTAGGCCTCATGGCCCATGCTTGTGCTGTATACACATGATCAGTGAATAATCATTTTGTTTTAAATACCCGCACAGTGTGTTTTGTCATTTGAGCACTGGACATTGGCTTGTTACCTTGAAGGAGCTCGAAAGCACAGTCTTGTAGCTCCATCGCGACCCCTGACAACACACCCCACATCGCAGGGAAGTCCATCAGGACCAGAAATACAGGCTGCAAGAGAGGCAAAGGTGCTACATTAGAGCAGGAAGAATGAACATACAAACTAGAAGCAAGAGTAGGCCACTTAATCCTTCAAGACTTCTTCCCCCATTCAAGGGCTGATCTAATTAGTCCACATTCCTGAGTAACCCCAGTAACAGTTTACCCCTTGCTTAGCACAATCCTCTGACTGTGCCCACTCCCTCAGCACTGACCCTCTGACAGTGCGGCGCTCCCTCAGCACTGACCCTCCGACAGTGCCTGCTCCCTCAGCACTGACCCTCCGACAGTGCGGCGCTCCCTCAGCACTGACCCTCCGACAGTGCCTGCTCCCTCAGCACTGACGCTCCGACAGTGCGACGCTCCCTCAGCACTGACCCTCCGACAGTGCGACGCTCCCTCAGCACTGACCCTCCGACAGTGCCCCCTCCCTCAGCACTGACCCTCCGACAGTGCGGCGCTCCCTCAGCACTGACCCTCCGACAGTGCGGCGCTCCCTCAGCACTGACCCTCCGACAGTGCGGCGCTCCCTCAGCACTGACCCTCCGACAGTGCCTGCTCCCTCAGCACTGACGCTCCGACAGTGCGACGCTCCCTCAGCACT